GTAATCCCAGCTACTCGGGAGGCTGAGGCAGGAGAATCACTTGAACCCAGGAAGCAGAGGTTGCAGTGAGCCGAGATCGCCCCACTGCACTCCAGACTGGCTGACAGGGTGAGACTCTGTCTCAAAAATAGAGCAGCCTGCAGAGGTTTCCTTCATAGTTTTTCCAGAGTTGTTCCAAAGGTCAGGTTACCATACTACAGACCACCATATACTACTTACCACAAAAGCATTTTTGGAAAGGTCTCTTTGTAATCATTTGTGAGAAACAGAAAGTAATTTAAAATTTAACATCATTAAAAGGCAGTCTTCTTCCAATTTTGTCAAAATTCTTTTCGTTCAGTCATAGAAACCTAAGAACATCAGCAATACTCCTTAATTCAGGGTAAATGGTCAAATGCCTTTGCTCCCAAACCAATCATCTCTCTGGGACTGCTTGTAATTTCCAAAAGCCCAAACACTTCAGCACAAGGGAAAAAAAAACAAAAATTGAAAATAAAAATCTAGTTATTTAAAATGTTTAAATGCCCTAAGACTACAAAGAATACAGTTCCTTGATATTAATGGAAGATACGGCTGGGCATGGTGGTTCATGCCTGTAATTCTAGCACTTTGGGAGACCCAGGCAGGCAGATCACCTAACTCAGGAGTTCAAGACCAGCCTGGGCAACATGGCGAAATCCCGTCTCTACATAAAATACAAAAATTAGCCAAAGTGGTGGCATGCACCTGCAATCCCAGCCACTCAGGAGGCTAAGGTAGTAAAGTGGGGGGGACTGTTTGAGCCCAGGAGGTCGAGGCTGCAGTGAGCCAAGATTGTGCCACTGCACTCCAGCCTGGGCGACAGAGCGAGAACCTGTCTCAAAATAAGTAAATAAATAAAAATAATGGAAGATAGATAGTTCTGGAATGCGAAAAATCTTCTGTATTTCAGCATTTCAGATTTCTCCAAGGTTAGAATAATTCGGCTCAAGAACCAAAGTGCATTAAGAATGTTTAATTCACAAAGGATAACAGCCATATTCATCCTACCCTCTAAGGTGAGAAAAGTCCCTTGCTTACATAGAAGGAGAAAACAATTTGAAATTTAAGCCTATTTACTATTTTGTTGGTACTCTCAATTTTCTTTTTAATCATAATTGTTAGCAAGGCCTGTAGCTTTAAAATCCTTAAAAAAAAAATCCTTATCCAATTACCTAATCCAAGTTCACTTAACTAGTTATGAGAACTCTATTTGAGTAACAAAACAAGTCTCTACAGGAGCAGAGCGAAACGTACACTCCTACTTAAAAGTACTGTCTGATGAAAAGCACTCTATTTACTTCTCTAGATATAACATGTTTAATGTGAAACCCTTTCTGTGGAACTGAAGAAAAACGTTTACTTAAAATAAATGCTCAAAGGAACTTTTCTAACCTCACTATTGATTTCTTAGGTGCAGTTTGCCCAAAACCCTCCCTCGGTCAAGCCCCCACTCAGAAAAGGTGCCTTACACGCGACGTTACTTGGTTGCTATTACACTTGGTTTCCAAGTCACAAAGGGATTCCTTTTCAGGGGAGAGAATAAAGCATAAGAAAAAGAGAGGATCACCCTCTTGGAGTGATTGATCAAGTCAGGTTCTCACTTAGAGATCCTGTTTAAACACAAGACGCTAAAACACACCATCTTGCTCCGTGTCAAAGGACCAGATCTCTCGGGATAAATTAAGCGACGGGCTGAAAATGTAGGAGCTGAAACTACACCAGCAGCAGCTCCGCGTTCTTATCAAAACAATAGCGAGTGGCACATGTCAGGCAGCCCACATGCGCAGGGGGATAAAGCGGCGCCTGGCTGAGTCTGGAGTTGAACTTGTCTTAACCCCCTCCCCCAACACCCTCCAACGCGCTCCCGGCTACGCGAAAGTGAAAACGAGGGGCGCCTAAGGCCCTGCTTCTTCCCCCTTCCTCTTCCCCTTGCCCAGCCGCGACTTCTTCCTCACTGATCTCCCGGGGGCGGAGACGCTGAGTTCCCCGGAGACGAGAGTTAGTCACCAAGAAGAGGCGGTGACAGAGAGCGCGGCTCCCGTCGCACTCCGAGGCCTAGCAGCGCCGGACGGGAGGCCGCCTGCGGAGGCTCTCGCGTCCCGCGTCCTCCACCCCTGGCCCGCAGGGACGCTCCCTCCTTCCCTTCTAGAACGAGTCTCAACTCCGCTCCTCTCCCCTACCCCAGGCAGCTCCAACGTCAGACCCCACTCCCGACTGAGAAAACGAAGCCCAGCCCAGCCGTTTCCTGCCCACCCGGGCAGGAATTCCCTCCCCCGACCCATGGACTGCGGCCCCACGTCGCTGACCCTAGCGGGGATCCCCTCGGCCGCCGGGAGGGGATCCCGGAACTGGCCCCGGAGTGCGCGTGTGGCCGCGGCGGGGAGGGGCAAGGCGGGGAGTTTCCGCCGCCCCGCGGCCAGGAGGGCGGGAGGGCGACAGCAGAGGCTAAGACCGTTCCCCGAGGCCGGCCGGGGACCCCAGCCTCCTCCGCCACGACCAACCCGCGTTCCCCACGCGGGCCGCCGCCAGTTGGCCCCGCGCGTTCTCCAAGTGGAGGCTAGGAGGCAGAGAACCGCGGGCCCGGGGCCACCCGTCACTTTCAAGTCGCCCCGCCAGAAGCCCAGGGCGAGGAAAAGGAGAGAGACAAAAGGGCGCTGGGGAGGGAGTCCCCACACCCCCCGCGGCCCCGCACCCTGCCCGGCTCTTACTCGTAGTGGCGGAAGATCTCGTTGGTGACTTTACAGTAGAAAACTTCCTCGTCGGGCCGTAGGTCCGCGGGCGGCTTCTGTCTCACAAACGGCTTTCGGTGTAGCAGCGGCATCTCCCGTCTGCCCGCGGGCTCGCCCGGATCCTCGGCCGCCCGCGCCGGCCCCGCTTCCCTATCAAAATTGGAGGGAAAGGAAAGCC